ACTTTCTAAAATTCCACTAACAAGTATTTGTAGTTAAATTGTAATATGAAAGTACAAAAAAAGATAATGTAGATCAAATGTTTTATTTACCTACTGTGTGTGATGCAAAGTATTTATGGCTTTGGCATCAAATTTTGAAAATTGCTTTAATTTAATTTAATTTAATCTTGGAGAAATGTAAAAACACTTTTAGCCACAAACAGATTTACTTATTCCTTTCTTTAATGGCATACAGGAAGTGGGATTAATCAGATATCATTAGCCATGGGGTTGAGTTAAAATTTTTAAATATTGACTTTAAAAAATGCACATATGAATAGATATCTTGTTCCAATATCTGCAAGATATTGCAGATTTTTTAGAGCAAGAACAGAACATGGAATTGCCATTTCAGAAATCTCAGGCTCCACCCCTTCTAGCTTCCTCTTGTTTTCTTCACCACCTCAAGCACCACCTTAGCTTTAACCTTGGAGAGACAGGCAGATGAATATGTGTGTGTGCGTGATTAGTGAATTATTAGACTCCACCAGGATTTTGTTTTTGTCATTATTTAAAAACTGAACAGTATTGTGAAAGTAATTAACTATGCTTCCTAATTAGGGTGCTGTGATAACCCCAGCCACGGCCATAGAGCCCAGCTTGTCTCTTCACCCATCCAGTGTCATGGCTCCTCTCACCCAGCAGATGAACCACCTCTCTCTGGGCCCAACAGGCGCTGTGAGTCTCTGTTTCAATGTCCTTATATGAACACACTATCTGTATATTAACTCATGGTAGTAGCAGCGTCATACAGTCTGAAGCTGAGTTATAGGAAAATGATTTAGTAAAATAATAGAAGAAAGAAAATTGCTTAAGAGAAGAAAATTGCTGTTGACACACTCATCCAATATTACTTGGCTTCAGTCATTTTGCAAAAAAGGTAACAAATTGTCTGAAAAGCATTGAGATTGTCACACAGCCAAACAAGCACCATGGGTTTTTAATAAACACGATTTAGTTTTCTTTTGGCATGCTTTTACAACAGCTTAGATTACAGAGAGAAAAAAATGTCTTTATTATTCATTGTTGGCTGCTATCAATCAGGTAATCAGATTACCTGGAACATGTTTGCACTGTTATTTTAGAGTGTGCCCCTTCTTGTGTCTCTGCAGTACATCTCTGCTGCAGCGGCTGCTCCTATGCAAGGAACCTACATTCCCCAGTACACTGCAGTGCCTGCCTCTGCCATTACAGTGGATGTAAGAACCAAATCCATCAGCTACTGTATCTACTTAGAGCTTATTTATCATTCTATTGTTAATTGAGAAAAATCGCAGTATCTTTGTGTCAACTCTAATTGAATTTCATATTATATTTTAAGATCTTGGATGTACTTAATATTAAGATATTAATGGTTGTCAATATTAGTAGAAAGAACACTTTTGGATTATTTAGGCTTTTTTCCACTTTGTAAATGAATGCCTTACTTATTAATGTACAAAGCGTATCTTTCTCTCAGTGAAAGAAGTTATTTTTTACTGCCTTTCTTCCACTGGGTGTCAAATCAGGGTGTGGTGACAGACCCATCTCCACAGACAACTGCCCCCTCCTCACAGGACACCAGTGGGCAGCAGCCTTTATCAGTGGAGAGCTCAGCAGATCATGCCACAGCCTACTCCTACCAGCAGACAAAGTGAGTTTATTGAGTCTTTTTAGGCATAGAACTACATTTCTTTTCTTGAAAATTAAACAAAACAAGATGAAATAAGATACAGAGGTAGTCTGGTTCTAAAAATGGTTTGTTTGGATTAATGGGGTGTGAATCAGCTAGAATCTGAGTGAAAAAAAAATAGAATAGTCTGGAGAAGTTTCCATTAGATTATTATCTAACCTTATCGCGGAAGCTGTAATGTTAATGTATATCTGGAGGGCCTGGTAGTCCCTGGTAGTCAGAAAACAATTTTAGTGTTTTACACTACCAGATAGAATTTAAGAAAATATAATGAAATAATAAATAAGAATATATATATAAAAATTATATAAGAATATATAATAACTTAGAATATTTCTTTTACAGCAATGTGGAAATCCAAGTAATGGAATGTTTTACAAGCTAATTAGCACATTTCTGGGCTTTTTACTGCTTTGCATCATTTTTTTTTTGGCTTAGAAAATAAGCTAAAAATGAATTTAATTTAAACTTTCTTTAAAAATGTTCACAGCATTTAGTGATTGTAAATAGATTAATTGGAGTAAATTTTGGTTTAATCAAGTCTGCTGTTGATTTAAGGTCATTGATATTCACCATGTTGTTGAAAGTATTTGTCTCTCTACTTATATATGCACATTAACATTAACTGACATCTCAATCTTTTTCTATGGGGTTCAATTTGTTAATCAATACCTTTTTCTAAAACAGCAAGTTTACCTCCTCTGTGAGGATTGTTCACAGTTATTGGGGAGTGTTCATTGTTACGTAGATGAGAAAAACAGCGTTGCAGTATCAGTTCTAATTCATCTCAAATGTGTACTATATAGGATGAGTTTGTGCAGGCCAGTCAATTCATATATATGTACAAATGCAGACATGGAAGCAGTGTTGTTTTTGACAGCAATCTTAGATTTAGTCTTAGTCTTCAGGACAAAAAATATTATTAGTTTTAGTTGCATTTTAGTCATTATGATATGTGACAGTTTTAGTCGGTTTTAGTTGACTAAAACTTAAAAGTTTTTAGTCTAGTTTTAGTCAGTTTTATGTTGCAAAAAAAGTAAACCTTTACAATTTTAAATAACAACCAGATTCTTTACCAGACTGACAGCTCTTGCCTAGATAATACAATTGCTGAATGTAGAAAGCTGCTGTGCAGTTAATCATTGCTGTTGGAAAGAAAATTTTGATTTAATGAATTCCAATGAACTATTTCATGAATTAATGCTATACTTTATACAAAAGTGTCTCACAAAAACTGTGGAAATAGCAGATCTAGTTCATCACATCATATTGATTAATAAAGCAGACAAACAAGCTAAGAAAATGTACAATAAAGGAATTGTTTTAAACAAAAAAGGTTTCCATTAAAAAGTAAACACTTCCTGATCTACTATCAATTATGCATTACAAACAGATCAACAAAATCTTCATTGCTCTAAAAAATCAAAGTACAAAAACATTTTTCTTTCTATTTTGGCAATTTAGGCTTTATTTCTTCAATTTTTCCCTATGTCAGCACTGCTCAGGGGTCAAAGAAGTTTTAAATTCACAGGGTTTTGATATAAAAAAATACATAGAGAGCCTACATAATTGCCCTATGGTAATCCAGCACTAAATTGAATGAATATCCTACCAAAATATTGACATATTCAAAGAGAGAACAGAGAAGATGTTTTGATGACAATATAGGGAAACATTTACATCATATTTAAATAGATAAAAACGGGAACTATGAGAAAGAAATATTCAAAGATCGATGTATCTTTTCACCTCGGTCTTTATCCAAATATAAACAGTATGCATTGAAATATTTTCTTTGGATATAATTTAGGGATTCCTTTTGGTAGAAATTAAACAGTGTTTAGCATCACCTCTTGTGAGTTGGAAGAAATAAAATCTGGATAGTTAGACAAAGGGATTTTTTACACTTGGCAGAGGATGATCAGCCACATATAGTTTATTGCGTAGAGAGGGCTTGAAGAGCCATACTGTTGAGAGTGAACTATCATATCAGTGACTCACTGTGCATTTCTGCACAGCTGGAAGATCAGAGTTTGTCAGAATTAAGCGCGCAGAACCGAACGATTCCAGGTTATTTTCTCCCCTGCCGCTGCTGTCACGCTCCATCTGTTGTTATGCAGAATATGCACCATTGCACACCAGGTAGACGGCTTGACCAAACAGGATGCAGCAGCACAGCTAAAACTGCTTAGTTTGTGTAACAGATTACAGCATAATTATGCACTTTAAATGTCTGCCCGACCACCCACTAACATTTTTATTTCGTCTCGTCTTGTTGACGAAAATTCACAACAAAGATCCATGTTAACTCATCAGTTTTCGTTATCGTCATTGTGCATTATATAGTGGCTCTGTGTCTGAATTATGAAATCAAAAGTAGAGAAAAGAGGGTAGCTGAGAAAAGGCTACCAGTCTTTCTTGAACTCAGTTACTGTCCTAAGGCTTATATTTTTCATTTAACAAAAACTATCCACATTTACAGCTTCTGCTTTCTTACCAAATTAGTAGCATAGGGGTTCAATCTAGAAATAAGTAAACATTTCTTAACCTTATTAATCTTATTAACCTTTAATTTAAGTAAGTAAATAAGGATTTGTCAATGGAATGAATATTTTTACTCTTAAAATAAGATAATTTGATAACTTTACTTACAGTAATCTAAGACTATGCAATTGTTTTTTCTTATTTAAAATGTTAATTGTCTTGTTCCATTGGCAAAGTGTCTCACTTACCTCCTCAATTTAAGAAAAAATTACTTAAGATTTCTTTTTTTTCTTTTTTTTTTGCAGTGTAGGTATTTAAGTATAAAGTAAATATAAAGCAGCATCACTAGAATTTTTTTTTTGCTGCCTTCTAAGAAACATGTCAACACTTTGATTCCGTAGTGGCATCAGCAATCTTCTATGGTGTGTTATGTTGGAGCAGAAGCTTATCTGCAGCAAAGAGGAAGTGGTTAGATAAGCTCATTAGGCCAACTCTGTCCTATGATGCCCCCTGGTCACAGTACAGATAAAAAAAGGCAGGAGGATTGAGACAAAATATTGAAAAGCGTGTCTCACTCCATGCGTAACACAGTTGTAGAAGTGGAGAGCTTGTTTTGTGAGGGAAAGCTGAACTTTCAGGGGACAATATAAGGTGTGCTATTAACGATCCTTCCCACCCAAACTTTTAATCTTCACTGCTCACAAAAAGTCCAATAAATGTTTTTTTCCATGTCGTTTTTTTTTGCACTTTTTCTTTTTTTTCCAATCTTTTTTTGTTATAGGTTTGTTACAGCAACGTCTGATATTGTACAGCCACTAATTCACAACTCTTCTTTTGCAGATGTATATATTTACACTCAGTGTTCAATTTCTAGTAAACTATTACTTCCCTTTGCTGTACTTTCTATTTTAGCTTTTATTTTCATCGTTTTTTACTTTTGATGTCAAGCTGTATGCTTTAATTCTACCCTATTTCCAATGCTGATGACACACAGGAATTTTCCCATCATGGGATTACAAAACGATGATTCTATTCTATTATGTTCTATTCTCTTTTATTTCTGACTTGCTGTGTTACTAAAAGATGTTTTAGCCATTACATTTTTCTGACTTTTCTTTCTCATTCAGGTAATGAACTTGGTAGAAATCATTGCTGCATTGCCTTTAGAGGGACTGCATGGCGGAGATGGAGACAGAAAAAGAATCAAATTACAACAGAGGACAAAAACACAGCAGTGATTTGGACGTCGCGGACAGGAAAAATACTTCCACTCTTCACAGGAACCAAATAAATGCTGAACAAAGCTAATTATCCTTCATAGCTGTTTGAACCAAGACAAAGACAGCTAGAAAAAAAACAAAGAATGTTTGTTGAACTACAAGACAATGAAATCAATCTCAGTCAAAGACTGATTGATTATTTCACATTTTGAGACTGTTTTTTTCCCCTCTGGAGGAATTAAAATATAAATATATATATATAAAAGACTTAAATCAGAACTCATCCAACTGTACAGAAAAAAAGGAGATTTCATTTGAATGTGCAGGTAGAATTTTTGACTTTTTTATCAAAAAAATAAAGGAAGCAATGTCTAGAAGAAAACACACTGTCTTCCTCTGAAATGAAGCTGTTCTTTTCATTCTTTTATTATTTGAGTAGTTTTTTTTTGTTTTTTTTTTAGAAAATCAATGTTTTCTTAAATTCTTATTGCCTTAATTTTCTCAGACTTTGGGGAAAAAAAGACTGCATAGTGTTACATTCTTAAAAAATGATTTGAGGTGTTGTGGGAGCCTCAGAGAGGAGAGCAAAGCTATCTGTACAGGTTTAAAAAAATAATTCCATTTGTATGAAAATGATAAGTGGCGAGGTGCAGAAAATGTCAATGGAATATATGAAAAAAATGTGTGTATTTTTATTTTGAAAGAGTTGATCTCCAGCTTCCTGGGCATTGAGGTTGGATGTAATGGAGGGGAGAGAAAATCTCATTTTGTTGTTTTCAGGTTTGGGGGAACTTTCATTGCTGTCATAATGTTTTTTTATGCTTTTTTTGTCTCACAACAGAGAACAGAAAAACCTTCATCAACAACCAAATTTCAAATGATAGGGTTTCTACATGTGTGATAAGCAATAGTTTCAGTACAGCTGTCAACAGTTTCTTGAGTCTTTGACAACAGTTGAACAAACGCTGCCGGCAGATGGCAGATTTTATACCAAAGACAAAGAAATGACATAGAAATCTTCCTTTTGTTTGTTCACCTTTTCCCTTTTAAAAGTGAAATACATTTTTGCTTATCATGATTTTGACCTATAAGATGCCGCATCTTGGCTTATGAGATTAAAATAAAACATGCAGTAATTCTTTAACATAACTGCCTCAATAAGAAGTGAAGTTTAATTTGTCATATTGAACTCATAATGAATTAAGATCCACAGCTTTCTCTACAAAATTGTGCTTTGTAATATTATCAACTATTATTATTTTCATCAAACTGAGATGCTGAAAATGAATCGACATTTTGTTAAAAAGGACACAAAACAATGTAATTTAGAATACAAACTGAACATTTAGAAAATGCATTTGTTCTTTTAAAGCATCGTACTGATGTGTAGTTATACCCAGCCAGCACCTTAACTGCAGAAGACAGCAGCCAGAAATAAAAATAAATTAACAATATTTTTACTTTAGAACAAATTGAATAGAATATATTGCCTATCAATAGAAAATCAGAACCCAAGCCTGTCCATCAGCCTAATAAAAAAAACAACAACAAAAAAAATCACATGAATGTTCGTTGTAAAGTTTTGGATCATTTTACTTATTGAAAACAATCAATTCTAATCATAATTCTTAATAATTAAATGATAATTGGGCGGTTTATCTAAGTATATGTCTATTATATTGTCATGTATTGAACAGTTTAATTTAATGTTCAACTCTCAATATAAAATGGATATTAATAAAACAATATTTTTTAATTGGATAATCAAGCTTGATCAGCTGTATAATGCAAATATTTGGGGTTATGTTTTACTGCGTCATAAATGCAAAGACTTTCTCAAATAATAAAAATCTGAGAAAAAAAAACAGACTTAAACATAAGAGAGATTAATACAATCAAGGTAGTTACATTAATAAGGTTGTGGTTTATTATAATTTGGAAAATCAGAACTTTACCAGCTGTTTTTAAAATAGAGATATACTCTCTATTGAGTAATATTATTTTACATGTTTGCAGGTTACTTGTTATATTTAATTAACAGTACATCACTTTTAACAGCTAAATAAATTTGTGTTCCTGGGCTATGACTTGTGGACATATACCATTTTCACTCAGAGATGTTTTGTTGATTTTTATGTCCTGTATAAACTCTCTAAATAGTTATCTTAATTTCTTTGTTACAATTTTCTCAGATTCTCCAAACTGAGATTACTCTAATTGCTGTCTGCTGCAGTTAAGATACTGACTACACATAAGTACTGCCCCTCTATAACAAACAAACAGAACTTAAACTGTTTCGTGTGTTTTTCCAAACGCAATCTTTTAACAAAAAAGGGCACTTTTACATAGCAAAATCCTTTCAGTTTATAATGGTCTTCTACAAGGGCAGAACATTTTTTTGTGCTATTTTTTTATTTTTACTGGCTTTTGACAATTACTTAAATTTAAGCTGCTAAACACTTTTCAGTATTGGGGAAAGATGTAATCATGTGTCATGTATGTATGGAAAAAAATGCACCATGAGCATTAAAACAACTTGTAATTTCAAGCCAGACTGAAGATTGAAGAAGAAATTAACAGAATATTTTTTGAGTGCGAGTGCATCAGATGAGCAGAAAAAAAAAAAAAAAAAGCTGACTTCATGCTGTGGTTCACACTGGTTCTGACTCCACATCCTTGTTGACCTATCCCCCAAAATCAATCCAACTGGAGGCCGAAAAACAAGAAGGACGAAGAAAAACTGATTTAACCAAAACAAGGTAAACTCAAACGTCTCATGGAAAATAAACGATCACAAATAAAAGAGGAGGCCGAGAAAAAAAAAAAGGTAATATTTATGAGTTGTTTCTTTTTTGTACAGGTGAGTAAAAGAAGAAGAAAAACTTTGAGGATGCTATTTTTTTATTTGTTTTGTCACATGCCTCCAATGTCTTTCAAAGTTGTGATTTGCAGAGTGTCTGTAGAACCAGTGGGTGTTGCTGTAGATTCACAAGTGTTTTTTCAGTTTTTTTGTTTTGTTTTCTTATTCAACAGAAATTTCAATAAATTTTTTTAAACAGCCAAAACAGGTCTTCCTTATTGTATAGCATATTACCACTGGAGGGCAGCATTGTTTCCTGTACATCAATAGCCAGGTTATGGCGCATCCTTGCTGCCTTATTAGTCTTTAATTTTATTTCTATACCACCATTGTGCACAAAGCATTGCAGTGGTAACAACGTAAAATACAGGAAAACTATAAGTAAGATATTCAACCAGCCAATTTCTTAAATGGAGGAAAGAAGACTGACTTTTTATCTGACAAAAATCTAAACTACTGAAAAAAGAATTAAATAAAAACATGGACCATTTTTTCTCCGTCTGGTTTTGACATTTGTCCTCTGATTTTGCAAATGTGAGTGTTGTTAAGAGGATAGTGGATTACTGATTTATTAAAAAGTTTTAAGTTCAATGTAGCGAACAGCTGATCTCCAATTTTATGTTTTTAGCTATTTAATTAATTACTTTTTTCTCTGTGTGTTCTTTGCAACTTTAACCTGAACTGAAAGGTTGATGGTGGCATGTTTTTTGCATGAAGTATAAGGAGGTCTATATACGTATATGCGTGAACAGCCTTAAGATGACTATGGAAAGAATATTGATTTATTTCATAATTTGATACAGTTACTCCTTTAGAACTTATTGACACCAAGAAATTTATCTTCGTAAAAAAGGGCATCTTCATCAGTAAATGAAGCATTTATACAGCAACCCTTTCAAGTCATGGGCCTCCAAAATAATTTATACTGCTGGATAGAACTGGTCCGTTGGTGGCAAACAAGGTTAAACCAGTTGAAAAAAGTTTGCTCTTATCTACCTCAAAGCAGGCTGGATTGCACTGAAAATACACTGCATTCAATTCTCTCTGAATCATAGGCAGAAAGCAGCCTGCTTTTGCCAGCAAAAATCACATTTTTTTGGTGGAAAAGGTGGCCATGTAACGTGGCTTCAGCTGAAGACCGGTGTGTCTCACCTGTCAGACCCGGGGGTCACAGCACAAAGAGAATAATGTCTGTCACAGGGATGTGATGTCATGGGGGCTTGGCTCGCTTCATTAGTGACATTTGACCTCTAACACCCATTAAGGCACACATTCACACATTGTTGAGGGCAAGATACATTGTAACCACAGCAGCCCTGGGACTCACTGACAGATGAGCCACTGCGAAAAAAAGAACACCAGAAAAATACACAGAAAGATGCCATTGACTGCTAAGGTACAATGAAATTATCTATCTAGATGCAGAAGAATGCGGTCTACCAACAAGCTGTTCCCAACAATAGCATTGCTCAAAAGACAATATCTCTACTATTTTAATTTCTACTAATATAATTTTGTCTCTTTTTGCACCTGTGCCTCTTTCTCATCACAAAGACTGTAGTCATTTTTGTTGGCAAGGTTGCAACAGATTTTCAAAAATGCTAATTTTACGCCAGAAACTACAACTGCACTCTACTTCAAGTTTGATAACTCATGTTGCAGGTTTGCATATTTTCCTCCTGGTTTATTGCACTCTGACAATCTTCTATTGATCAGGATACATTCAGCATATTTATGAAGGCAAAAACACAAAACTTGTTTGCTTGTTGTTTTGTCCAATTATGATTTATAATAGAAATTTAATTTAATTTAAATATTTGGTGAGAGTTCTCTAGTGTACCTAATTGTGCTCTGAGTGCCTGATCCTGACCTGTTCTGCCTCTGGACCTCTAAGCCTGCCTGTTCCTGTTCTAATCTGTTTGCCTGACCTGTCTTCGGACTCCTGCTGGATTCTGCCTGTTGACTGAACCGGGATCTGCTTCCTGAAACTGACCTTTTCCCTTTGGTACCTCTTCGGATCTCTGATCTTCTGGCATCGGATTCCCGAATCTCTTGGATAGCAGCTTTGGCTTCTCCTTCTGGAAAGTCCTGCTTTCCCTCATCTGCTTGGATCTGACCTCCTTCCAGTTCGGCAAGTCTTCAAGGCTTCAGAGTTATGTTGCCCCTCAAAGTTGTCAAATTATGTTAAGTGAAGTTATTTGAAGGTTGTAACACAGTCTTAATGCATGGATCATTAAATTATGGGGAGGTCTTTCAAGACTGCCTATAGCAAAACTTGGCTTCTTAGTCACTAAAACCGAATCTGATCTGAGTAACAAGTGAAGTTGTATGTCGTTGTCCTTTAAAATCTCACATTGCCCATAGTGATCTATGGAAGATTTGGCTTCAATTTTCTGTTCATCACCCTTCTCCTTACTCTTGCTCTGCATCCTTGGTATCTGCTTTTCCACTCAGCTGGTACTTGTGGAAGTAGCTGAAGTATTATTTTAGAATAAAGAAATAAAAAAATAAAAACAGAAATGCAAACTTCATTTTCACCTGGTTAAAAGAACAGCTTTGTGCACCCTATTATGTTTACAAATATTTTTATACAAACCTTTTGTATGTCAGTAGTTTATGTAAAATAATTATGGCGGATTAATTGGTAAGGTTATGGAATAACAACTATAAAAAATGCAGTCAGAGGACACGTTTATTATACAGTTATATTTGTTAACAGAGCGAAACAGTTAAGGAAGTGCATCAAATTGAATAACATGCATGACAGCAAAATAAAAAAAATATCCTACAATATTACCTAGTAGAATTGCATGTATTTAGAAGAATTAGTTTACATTTTTTGCCCCTTTTCCAGAAATAAGTCACCTTATTTTCCATATTAGGTGAATGCCTAGAAATTTCTCTTATTTAATAAAACATATGCATATAACAAAATACGTTAGACATACCTGAACAAAATTAGCAAGACCTTAATACATATTAGGTTAGGGTACAGTTATCAGAAGTCCTTGAAAAAAGTACAATAATAAAAAACCTTGGTTAGCTTTCCTGAAATCTGTCTCTTAGGTGAAAAACATTTTATATAATAGGGGGATTTTCACCTTTAATACACTGAATCTTCAGGTTTCCATCATAAGCGTTAAAAGAGTTTAGTTGTAACTCTCAGGGAAGAAAAGTGAAACACTTCCATAAGCAAAAGTCAGGAACTAAAACCACCTTTAATGAGGAAATTTAGATACCCTTTACCTAAATATATTCTGATTATAACACCTGAAATATTATTTAAAGGCACACCGCAGACTTCGTGACCCAAAGAGTTGATGCATATGAGTCATTTTAAATTATTCCTCAGGCCAATATACAGCACTTGACACTATCAATGATACAAACGGGGCTCCCTTCTTAAAATGTAAGTTTGAAGAAGATGCACTATCTTTGGCCAGGTCATGTGACCTGGAAGAACATATCGTTTACAGCCATAGGCGCTTTTATGCAGAGGTGTCAAGTAACAAACTACAAAAACTTCGTTACTGTACTTAAGTACACTTTTTAGGTATCTATACTTTACTCCATTACTTATTTTTCTTCCTACTTTTGACTTCTACTCGTTACATTTTCACACAAGTATCTGTACTTTCTAATCCTATTCCTATTACTCTTAGCTTCAGTTTAATGTTTATAAATATTTATTGTGCGCCATCCAATGCAGATCATTGGAACCATCCACATCTAGTGAAAACTAGTGTAATTGGATAAGTCATATAACGCAAACACTCATTGGTTAGCTAAAGGAAACCATCAGAAGCAAGCAGGTGTTCTTCAAACTGCAAACGTGAATTATCTATTCCAAATAGTTGAAAAATGTAGCTTGGTGCTAAGGAGCTAAGGTTTTTGCTCTATAATTTTTCCACCTGCTCGACTACTGGTCATGGCTGAGTCAAGGAAAATTTTTAAACCTTCTGAGGAGGCTAAAAAGAGAAATTGTGAAAGGGATCGTGCGCGAGGAAAAACAAGAGTCGATCTTGGAAAAGAGTTTATTCGTTGGCGCAGGCTGAAAGAAGAAGCCGGCTGTAAAACTGATTCTCTTTTTTTCAACTTTATTATTAGACTGGTAAGTTAACACTTTCCTCCTAGTATACAGTCATATATCTTTCTTATTCTTTTCTATGTTTAGTAGAAGCAAACTACGGGCAGGTACAGGTCTAGTGCCCCTAGTGGCCAAAAGTTACATGGCGCGCCTTTAAGTATTTTTTCAGTAATACTGAGCAATTACATTTATCTAAAATTAGCTTTTGTAGTTTTATGTTACTCTGTAAATTATTCTTCCTCAATGAAGTTAATGCAGATTTCACTTCAAACATCTATTAATGGGAATAGTATACAGGCAATTATTTAATACAATGATATATTTTGTTTTAAAGTTTTTACTTGGAGCTGAACTTAGACTTAGACATACCTTATTGTCATTTTGTATAGACAGTGTATACAAAACAAAATTTCGCTTATACACATCAAATGGGAAAAAGTGATAGTTTGGTAACTTCAAACTAAAGAAAAAGGGCAAGCATGCTAAAATTAAAAAACACTTTTTTTGTAGATGTTAAAAAAAAGCACAACCTCTCCATACAGCTCACTTTTTGTATTCCTCCAACACATGGCAATACATGGCAAGGATAAGCATTTTTCACAGCCATGCTCAAAATGGGGATAGACACACCTATCTTTGCCTATGCATGTTTATTTCATTCACTCCTGTTCATTTATGTTTGATTTGAGGTAAAATAAAAAGCTTTGTGCTTCTGTGAGATACAGGAAATGCATTCTGTAAAGGCTGCTCTATCCGACGTCTGAACTGCATATTACAAGATAACAAGATTAATCAATAATATGTATCAGACATTTGAAATAAGGTTGCTCATTAGTATTGGGGATAGTTTATTTTATCCTTATTAGTTTAGTTTAAAGTTGGAAAATATATTGTTTAACCTTAAAGCCAAGTGCAAAAACTCTACATGTGAATCTTGCTTCAGAGCCATGAGATTATAAAAACATGTTTGCTTTGTTTATTAACTTCCACACACATGCCTCAGCACATGCTACTGCAGCACATTCCAGCAATGTACCAAATATCTCCAGAGGCTATTCACAGTTGTCTTTGACACTTAATCAGTAGCAAGTACGAATGAGGATGATAA